GAAACTGTACTAATGTCACTGGGGAGGAAGGGGTTAACATTTTTAGAATTTGCTGTGTAAGGGGAGTGTTTTACTAGGGGGCGGGGGTGTGTACTGGACGGGGGGAGGGAGGGGGGAGCTGATCGAGGGAGAGAAACTCTTCTCTCCCTCTTCAGCTTGTCAGCGAACTGTCACAGAGCAGGGCTGTGTGTAAACAAAGCAGCCCTGCTCTGTGTTAGTGATGACCGCTCATCGCGGGAAAACGACCGGTAAAAACCGGCCGTGACCCGGCGGCGGAGACCCACTGCTGACACCCGCGGGACAGGTAGGGCGGGCGCGCACCTCGCGCATGCCCCCTACCTGTTTTGAAGGCAGCCGTTTTAAAAACGTGCTTTTGCCTACGAGCGCCGCCCTGCCACCGTTTATATGCGGTGGCTGGGCGGCAAGTGGTTAATAAAAACCATTGGAATATAAAGTATAAGGAAGAACATAGAGTTGCCTTTCCTCCTTTTTCCTACTTCTACAAGTTCATCAAAAGAAGTGCAAACACTAAGAATGACCCAAGTTTCTCATATAGGGACTGTAACCTTTTCAGTACACTCTCTCCAAGACCTACAAACACATGTATGTCGTACAGATAGGTCCAGCGTTAGTGAAAAGGACTAATGTTCTACCTGCACCTGCTACAGTTATTGAAAAGACTGATCAAAACAAGAGTATTGAGGACCCAAATCGCCAGTGTCCAATACATAACAAACCACATCCACTTAAGAAATGTATCCGCTTCAGAAAGAAAACTCTCCAAGAATGTAAGGAACTTTTGAAGAAATTTGGGGTTTGCTACAAATGCTGTGCCTCCACAGAACACTTTGCAAAGGACTGTAAAGCGATTATCAAATGTATAGAATGTGACAGTGATGACCATGTGCAAGCTCTTCATCAATATTCGCACAACTCTACTACGCTCACAAACAATCTTCCTGAGGCAAAGCAAGGCGGGGAGCGCCCAGATCAAGCAGCACCTACCACCCCAGTGTTCTCTACATGTACAGAGGTCTGTGGAGAAGGATTCTGCGACAAGTCCTGTGCAAAGATATGCTTGGTCCATGTATACCCCAAAAGTCAACCTGAAAAGGCCATATAAGACTGTATACTATTCTGGATGATCATAGTAACAGATCTCTTGCAAGAACACAGTTTTTTGAACTGTTGAACATAACTGGAGATGCTCTGCCGTATTGTCACAAGTTAGCTTGCAGCCTTTTGTGTGTTTACTCTTACCTCCATGCTGTTCTTGATTCCTTCACATGTGTGTTGTTCTGTGCTCACCTCTATGGGCGTCGTCTGCTATTCCCTGGGTTTTATGTCCTTCCCTTCCATCACTTCCTGTCCCACCTCCTTGTCTGCCTGTCTATTTAAGATGTGCTCAGACTGGGCCACATTGTCTGAGCAACGGGTGTTGTTGGAGCTCCCCAGTGGTCTTCTGAATCCGTTTAGTATATCTGTGTACCAACACTGGCTTCGTCCCTGACATTCCTCCTGTATTGTCCCCTGCAAGCCTTCCGGAAAACATTCGATGTGCCTGGCAGGACTTCATCTGCTGCGGGAGCCCTTCTTTGGCTACACCAAGGTAGCATGATGGTTGGTCAGTATGCAGTACGGTTTCTCACCTTGGCTTCGGAACTTGCATGGAACAATGAGGCCCTTTCTGCAACCTTTTGGCAGGGTCTAGCAGACCGAATTAAGGATGAACTAGCTGGGAGAACCATACCCTCCGCCCTGGATGAGTTGATTGCTCTTAGCATCCAGATCAATATCCGTTTCCAGGAGCAAGATCTGGAAAGGACTCATCCACGTCACCCTCTAGTGGGTTCTCTTGCTCCTGTTTTCCAGAAATTCCCTGATCAATTTACCTCTGCAACTGTACCAATGTCTGAAGAGCCCATGCAGTTAGGCCGAACGCCGCGCTGAGTAACAGTCCGCAATAGGGAGTTTAGACATCCAAAAGGCTGATGCGTTTCGAGGACTTGCCTCTTCCTCAGAGCCAACTCTTGGCAAGTCCTCGAAACGCGTCAGCCTTTTGGATGTCTAAACTCCCTATTGCGGACTGTTACTCAGCGCGGTGTTGATCCAGCTGTTCTTTTATGATGTGCCTTGACTATATTGTCGTTTGTGAGTACAACACCTACTTTATTATTTTTTATTAAACATTTTTTATGGTAATGCACTAGGCCTGTGCGCCCTCTTTTTGTTCTTTCCCCATTCAGTATATTTGGATTCCCCCGGTCCATTTGAGGGCAGCAAGGTGTGCATGTTCCAGGACATTCTTAATGTGGTTGTAGCATCGAGTCCATCCCCAAGCGCAGGAGCATTTGTGTTAGTTAGGCCGAACGCACCTTACTCCACAAGAGCGATCGCGCCTAAGATTTGGTCTATGCCTTTACTGTGGGGCTGAAGGTCATCTAATTAGATCTTGTTCTGTCCGCACACCTCGCACTGTACCCGTGGCTGTGGCCACCACCTCTCCGATGCTTCCTCAACATTGCCAGACCTTACATGATGTTTCTTGTAGTAAGGCTGCTCCCCTGCCTACTCCTATTACGGCCCCCCTTCCGGTGCTGTCCGCCTCTAGTTCCTTACCCTCTTTGCTGCCCAAATCTTCGGTCCCTTTACATATGTTGCAGCTCAGAGCTCCTATATCGCGACCTTTTGGATGGGTGGAGGTCCCAACATCTGTGACCTCTGTACCATCTGAGTTCCCAGATTCATGTGCCCTGCATGCTGAGACCCCAAAACTCCCTTCAGCTGCTTTGGAGCCAGCCGTGGGTTCCACATTAGTAGCTACTGAACCCTCTGTCTCCTGTCCTGTCCTCCTACACCCTACCGTGCCTTCTGTCTCCTGTACTGCCCCCATACATCCTACAGTGCCCTCTGTTCCTTTTATTACCCCAGGTTCCTGTTCCACACAGCCTGTCTTGCCCACTATACAAATCAAAGCCTTCACGCCCACCCCTGTGCCCTCCCTGGCAGCCTTCTCACCAGATCTTTCATCCCGGTTATTGGGGTCTGCTCCAGTCCAGCTTCTTGTCATATGTTCTCCTATTCTTACCCCTTCCGAGGCAAATGTTTCCAAGAGCTTACATCTGTCTGCTTCTAAATACAAAGTAGCTGCAGATTGTCATTACCGGGTGAGTCCCAAATATTTCCCGGGTGACAAGGTTTTGCTCTCTACCAAGAGTATCCATTTACGGGTACCCTTTATGAAATTTGCTCCTCGGTTCATTGGTCCCCTTACCATCCTTCGCCAGGTCAATCCTGTTGCTTTCAAACTCTGCCTCCCTTCACATCTGAGAATCCCTAATGTTTTCCATGTTTCTCTTCTGAGACCGTATATCATCAAAAGATTCCTGTCCTCATCATCATTCTTCCCCAATAGCGAGTACTTCGGATCAGTATAAGGTCAAACAAATCTTGGATTCTAAATTCAGACGGAAGCTCTTGTATCTGACTGTAAGGGATATGGTCCTGAGGAGAGGTGTTGGATTCCTTCTACTGATGTTTCTGCTCCCCGTCTGGTGGAATTGTTTCATCAGAGGTTCCCCCTTAAGCCTGGCCCTAAAAAAGTGGGGAGAACTCATAAGAGGGGGGGGGGTACTGTCACAAGTTAGCTTGCAGCCTTTTGTGTGTTTACTCTTACCTCCATGCTGCTCTTGAATCCTTCACATGTGTGTTGTTCTGTGCTCACCATGGGCGTCGTCTGCTATTCCCTGGGTTTTATGTCCTTCCCTTCCATCACTTCCTGTCCCACCTCCTTGTCTGCCTGTCTATTTAAGATGTGCTCAGACTGGGCCACATTGCCTGAGCAACGTTTGTTGTTGGAGCTCCCCAGTGGTCTTCTGAATCCGTTTAGTATATCTGTGTACCGACCCCGGCTTCGTCCCTGACATTCCTCCTGTATTGTCTATCCATGCACCGACCCCGGCTTGTTCCTGACATTGCTAGTGTTCCGCCTATCCTGACCTCGGCTTGCCTACTGGATATCCTGTCTCTACTCCCATTGCACCCTGCTCCCGATAGCGGTCTCTTCTACCTCAGCTGGGTGTACCTGGGGGTCACGACCTGGTTCCAGCCTGCTCCAAGTCCATCCCCACCATCAGGGGCCCTGGTGAACAAGCAGGCTGGGGCTTAGACTCCGCGCCCTGGGGAACCCCAAGCTGTGGTTTTATAGAGCTCACTACCATAGACGTGACACGTATACTCTAAGCACTTGTTTCGGCACTACAGAAGTCTTAGGTAGGAGAGCCAGTGGTCTTGTAGTTGCTCCTCTGAATGACAAGGTGGAAATATCTTTGCCCACTATCAACCAGATTCCAAGCATCAAAGAGGAGATCCCTACTTCTGAAGCTGCTTTTCACCATTCTCACTTAAAGCACATAAGCAACCAAATACCAGCCCTCGATGAAAATGCCGATATGCTGCTGTTACTTGGTCGAGACATCCTAAGGGTGCACAAAGTTCATCATCAATTCAACGGTTCACACAATGCACCATATGCTCAGCGTCTGGATCTAGGATGGGTCATCACAGGTAATGTCTGCCTAGACAAGGACAGGAGGTCCTACTCAGTCACTTCCTTTAAAAAACATTTCCTGTCAAACGGACAAACAACTTGTTCTACACAACGACCACATAAATATATTGTGAAAGAAAGACTGTTTGAAAAAGGTGCACAACAGCACATCATACAAGACAGTAAGAAAGCTCTTAATCTCTGGGATGACAACATTGGCAACACAGTGTTCGAGGTAACCACTAAAGACAATGAGTTGGCAGCTACCATAGAAGACAAAGAATTCTTGAAAAGCATAAGTAAAGAGTTCTACCAAGATGATTCCAACAGTTGGGTAGCACCTCTACCATTTTGTACCCCAAGAAAGAGACTACCAAACAAGGTACATGAAGAATCACGGTTTGTTTCTTTAACCTCCCTAACGGTATTCCCGAGTGTAGCTCGGGGTAAAATGTCTGTACCAAAAGCGGTAACCCCGAGCTACACTCGGGCTTACCATGCAGCGCTGCATAGGGAGTCCCTGCAGCACTTACCTTGTCCTTCGCTCCCGCGATGTGTCCCCTGCAGCGTCCCAGGCCATCTCCTCCGGCTGATGCCGGCATCCGGCTCCTGTGTTTTGGTCCCTGTGACGTACGGGCGCCAGCGGCGGGAAATTTGAAAATTTAAAAAAAAAAGTCATTTTTTTCAAAACGATTTTACATAGTAAAACATTGCTGTTTCAACCCATTTCACATACATTTTGTCCCTAGTGCTCTGTCCTGTCCCCTGCCTGCATTTTGAATGTTCTTTCTGCCTGGAAACTTAGAAAAGTCCATGGCGTCCAAAAAGTGTGTCCCTTTAGGTCAAAAGCGGGTTTAGATCAGCTAGAGAACAGCGATAGTAAATCAGAACCACTTGCAGAATTGAGTGATAATGATTCATGGAGAAATTCGTCATCAGACACTGAAAAAATTTTTGCAACTTTGCTCAGCGATGTGCGAACTTGGCGCTATATTTCAAATTTCAGTGTTTTTGGTTTGATTATATTATTGAATTAAATGTAATATTATTATATTCTTATTTTTTATGATTATTTATTAAATTATAAGTTATGATTTTGTGTTTCAAATTTTATCATACCCGGGATGTTTAATAGACTCTTGTTCGGACAGATTTCAGTGAGTTATTCCTAAATATTACTGCCTACAATAAAAAAAAACTACATATTTCCATGCAAAATAATGGTCCCGCTTTCAGTACCAAAAATCTGAAATAATCATACCGCTAGGGAGGTTAAATCGCAGTTTGAACCAGAAGCCTGAGATGAAAAAGCACTTTATGGACTTTGTGCAGAAGTTGTTTGAGAGAGATCATGCTGAGCCTGCACCTTCTCTTATGGAAGGAGAAGAATGTTGGTATCTACCATGTTTTGATGTCTAACATCCTCGGAAGCCTGACCAGATTAGGGTGGTCTTTGACTCAAGTGCTCGTCATGAAGGTGTCTCCCTCAACGACAATCTTCTCACTGCGCCTAATCTGAACAACAATCTCATAGGAATTTTACTTCGCTTCAGACAAGAGCCAATTGCTGTTATGGCTGACATTCAGCAGATGTTCCACTGTTTCATTGTCTGTGAAGATTACAGAAACTTCCTCAGGTTCCGATGGTACCGCAATAATGATGTTAACGATGAAGTTAGACTACCGAATTAAGGTACATGTTTTTAGTAACAGTCCTTCTCCTGCATTAGCAATTTATGAACTGAGGAAAACAGCTCAAGAAGGGTGAGAAAGAATTTGGATCTGATGCAAGACAGTTCGTCAAAAGGAATTTCTATGTAGACGACGGACTCAAATCTCTGCCTAATAAAGAAGAAGCTATTGACCTTCTTACTAGAACCCAGAACACACTTGCCACTGCAAACCTCAGACTTCACAAAATCATCTCTAACAGCGACAAGGTCATGATAGCCTTTCCTTTTGATGACCATGCTCTCAGTGTGAAGAAATTTCAACTTGGATCTGACCTTTCTGTCATACAACGCAGTCTTGTATTGCTTTTGAATGTTAAATAAGACACATTTACATTTCAAGCAGCAGCTTGTGACAAGCCCTTCACAAAACGAGGAATATTGTCTACAGTGAACAGCATTTATGATCCATTAGGTTTCATTACACCTCTCACCATTCAGGGTAAGATACTGCTGAGACAACTTACTTCTGAAAGCTCAGACTGGGATACCCCATTACCCAAGGAGAAACAACAAAGGTGGGAATCCTGGAAACAGTCTCTAAAAGCATTAGAACAACTCCAAACACCACGCTCTTACACCCAAGCATCCTTAAAAAATGCCACCAGAAGAGAGATTCATGTCTTCTCCGATGCTTCCAACGAAGCCATTGCTACGGAGGCTTATCTTCGAGCTACGGATCCCAGCGGTAAAGTGGGTGTAGGATTTATCATGGGCAAGACCAAGCTCACACCAAAACCTGCACATACTATTCCAAGGCTTGAATTTTCTGGAGCTGTGTTAGCTGTGGAAATTGCTGAGCTTATAGAACTTATTGAAATAGACTCCTTTGACTTTTATACAGACGCAAAATAGTGCTAGGATATATACACAATCGCACAAGACAGTTCTATGTGTATGTCGGCAACAGAGTAGAATGCATAAGGAAGTTCTCTACACCTGAACAATGGCACTATGTTCCCACTAGCCTCAACCCTGCTGACCGCGGCAGTCGTGCAGTACCTACTACTGCATTCTTGGATACATCTTGGCTATATCCACCAGTACTCTTGAATGATAAACGTATCTCAAGTTCAACAAATTCTACCTTTAAACTGGTTCATCCGGAATCTGATAAGGAAATCAGAGCTGTTACCATCACACTCAACACCTCTATGAAAGCAAGGGTAGAACTGAGTCCTCACCATTTTGAATGCTTTTCTAAGTGGTCCTCTGTTGTACGAGCCATTGCACATCTTGTTCACATTGCTCATCAGATTGCAAACCGCTCTAGCACTGAAAAAGTGTGTCACAACTGGCACATCTGTAAAGCCCCTCCCACAATTGAGGAGGTCTTCCAAGCAGAAAGGGTCATTATTCAATGTATCCAACATAAAGTGTACTCACAAGAGATTGCTAACATATCAAAGGGACTCAACCTAAGGAGAGCTCTCTGTACAAATTAATTCCAATAATTGATCACAACAAGCTATTGCGAGTTGGTGGTGGCTTTGGAAGATCCCATTTGTCCAGTGAAGAGAGAAATCCCCACATTATTCCAGGACGTCATCACATTACTGCTCTGTTAGTTAGACATTTCCATGAGCAAGTTCAGCACCAAGGTCGTCACTTTACTGAGGGAGCAGTAAGGTCTGCAGGTTTCTGGATCGTCGGGATGAAAAGGTGTATATCGTCCATACTCCACAAATGTGTTAAGTGTCAATAACTAAGAAGGAAACACCTACAACAACAAATGGCAGAGTCGCCAGCTGACCAATTAAGGACTGAACCACCATTTACCAATGTTGGCATGGACATATTTGGCCCCTGAACTGTTGTTACATGCAGAACTCGTGTAACAACAGTTCCCAAAAAGTACCCAAAAAACTGGGATGGCCACTATTCCCACAGAGGAAGTTGATTACCCTAACATTTACAAGCATTAATGCCGATGGGTTCAACATCTTGCTAATGTGTTTTGGAATAGCTGGAAGATGGAGTACCTTTCTAACCTTCAAAGTCATAATAAATGGCAAACTAGCAAACCCAATCTACAAGTGGGAGATGTAGTTCTTTTGAAGAAGACAGATTCCCATCGTAACCATTGGCCCGTGGGTCTTTATTACAAAGACTATGCCAAGTAACGATGGAAAAGTACGAAAGGTAGAAGTTAAAGTCATGAAAGAAGGTTCTGCACACCTTTACTTCAGGCCTATAAAGGAACTAGTACTTCATTTGCCCAAAGAGGAAGACAAGTCATCAACCTGAATTAAAGGAAGGTAAGAAGGAATGTGCATGTTGCTGCCTTTCCCTCTGAATATGGATTTCCATGTCTCAGCCTGGAATTTTGAGACCAACATTTGCAAGTATTATGCTAAATGTTTGCATTGTTTTCCTTTGTTCTTCCCTTCCCTCTTGTTTTGCAGATGTTCCTGGAAAGAATCTTCATTATTTATATTGGACTTGAACTAAAGTTTATTATAACAGAAATCATAGATTTCGACGGGGAGTGTCATGTTTCACATGTCTGTCATATTGACTGTCATATGCCTTTAAGAGTTTTCTATATCGTCTCTGCCCCTCCCTTTCCTTTGGTTTAGCTAATTCTGTATAGACATCCCCCCCCCCTTTCCCAGTAAGGCATTGCAGCAAGCCTCGTGGCATGGAGCAGAAACATTATGATCTTTTGACCTATGGAATGTTCATTGTTGTAAGATTCTCTAAGTTTATGGAATAAACTTCACAAGATCTACAAGATGTCATTCTCATTAAGTCACTGACTGTGGTATCCAACTGAGGTTGAAGTTATCGCTATCTCATCACAACTGTAAATTACAGAGATCACACTATCAATGCTTAGATTGGTGTGATAGAACAATGGCTACTCTTAAGAGCTGTAATTCCTAAACCCTTCCTCCAATTTGGATGTACATATCCCCAAATTAAACCTGAGTGTGCACTTTCATCCCATATATAACTATAGCTTGAATATGTTTTGGTAAATACCTGAAAAAAACAAAAATTGTGCATGTGTCCAAATATACAGTGGGGATCGAAAGTTTGGGCACCCCAGCTAAAAATTTGTATTAATGTGCATAAAGAAGCCAAGGAAAGATAGAAAAATCTCCAAAAGGCATCAAATTACAGATTAGACATTCTTATAATATGTCAACAAAAGTTAGTTTTTATTTCCATCATTTACACTTTCAAAATAACAGAAAACAAAAAAATGGTGTCTGCAAAAGTTTGGGCACCCTGCAGAGTTAATATCTTGTACTGCCCCCTTTGGCAAGTATCACAGCTTGTAAACACTTTTTGTAGCCAGCCAAGAGTCTTTCAATTCTTGTTTGAGGTATCTTTGCCCATTCTTCCTTACAAAAGTCTTCCAGTTCTTTGAGATTTCTGGGCTGTCTGTCACGCACTGCTCTTTTAAGGTCTATCCATAGATTTTCAATTATGTTGAGGTCAGAAGATTGTGAAGGCCATGGCAAAACCTTCAGTTTACGCCTCTTGATGTAATCCCCCGTGGATTTCGAGGTGTGTTTAGGATCATTATCAATTTGTAGAAGCCATCCTTTTTAACTTCAGCTTTTTCACAGATGGCATCAAGTTACCATCCAAAATTTGCTGAAATTTTATTGAATCCATTTTTCCTTCTACTCGTGAGATGTTCCCCGTGCCACTGGCTGCAACACTAGAAATTCTGAAGGACCCTCTGCACACTGGTATATACCCTTTCAAGCAAACTATGCAACAAATAGGGATATTTGGTTCACACATATTGCAATACATGTTTAAGCTGGCCAACTGCGTCAAAGTAATCCCTCTATGGCCAGTCCTACTCTGCCCTGCCTACGCAAGTGCTACTGTGGACACAATGCTAGCATAGGGGAAAAGACACAATGGGGAGAGCTACAAGGTTCAGGTCTGGCTACTGACCCAACAATACAACAAACAAGAGATCCCTGTGCTCAAATCCATACAGCTAGTGCATGCATTTATCCATCAGGTGCTAAAGGGGTGTAACCACATTAACTCTAGAAATTCTGAAGGACCCTCTGCACACTGGTATATACCCTTTCA